TCTTCTTCAAGTACGCACAATGTGGGCTCCACGAAAGACTTCTGTCGATTATTATGCCCAGGAAACGATGCGTCCGTGCATATTTGACACTCTGCCCATTGATGTAAACAGGGTATGGCGTCATTGGTTTGCATGTAAACGCCATCAACGCGCACTTCCCAGTTGATATATTTAGGCCTTGTTTCTGAAGGTAGGCTGTCGTGAGGGTTGCTGCCCGCTGTATTCGTGCACGCACCTGAGGGCGAGTAACTGCAGCACTCCAGAGGCAAATATCATCGGCGTATATGGATAGGCACACCGACTTTGGAAGAACTTTCACCAGACCAATGAGGGCAACATTGAACAATGTGGGGCTTAAAACACCTACCTCCCTGAGGTACTCCGCAGTAGGTGTAATGTTGACCAGTTGCACCCTCATATGTTTGTACAAAGAAACCCCTGCCAGGTATATAATCTTTTATCCATTGAAACATTAGTCCACCAATGCCCATTGCTGCGAGAGAAGTGAGGATGACATCGTGAGCTACATTATCATATGCACCCTTCACGTCAAGAAAGAGTGCCACTGATATGCGCTTGCGACTTTTTTCTTGTTGAACAAATGCCGATAAGTCAAGGACACAGTCAATAGAGGAGCGGCTCCGACGAAAGCCTGCCATGCAAGAAAGCTATTTGGTGTATCGTTCCAAGTACCACTCGAGACGAAAAAGAACCATTTTTTCCATCACTTTTCCGAGGCAGCTTGCGAGGGCAATAGGGCGATATGCTGTCTAGTCCAATGGTGATTTTCCCAATTTCAAAAGTGGTATTAATCGACTTATTTTCCATTCTCGGGGAACACTGCCGCTGAGCCAGGAGTTGTTGAAGCATGTTAAATGTTCTTTTCTGGCTTTTTGTCCAAGGTGTCCCAACGCACTATAAGTAATACCATCCGGACCTGGCGATGACATGCGCTTAGAAGCGACTAACGCACCTTCCAGTTCTTCCATGGTGAATGGAATGTCCATTTCTGGTAATCGCGTCTCAGGAACGATCATGGCGTCGATGCTCTCACTCATAATATTCCCGGCAACTCTCGTGCAAAATTCTTCAGCCACCCCGAGTTCTGTTTTTCCATGATGGAGTGCCAAAGCTTTAAAAGGGTGCCGTTGTTGCGGAGAGGAGCGAAGACCACGAACTGTCCTCCAGATATATGACAGCGGTTTATGAGGGTCTAGAGATTTGCAGAATGCTTTCTAGCGTTCGCTCTCAAGCTTGTAAATGCGTCGTTGAATCTTTTTCTGGAGCCGCTTTGCTTCCCTCAGATCGTAAATTGATCTTGTGCGTCTGTATCGTCGTTCAGCACGTCTTCGTATAGCTCGTAATTTTTCCAGTTCAATGTCAAACTGTGTTATTTTAGACGAAAATGGTAATTTACATATGGACGCTTGCATAGCTTCCGCTATGGTATTTTCTAGGCTGCAAGCGAGGCCTTCTTGGCAAGCGTTCTCAACACGCGATGTAAACATCGACCAGTCAGTGCCAATTGCAACACCGGAAGAGAAATTCTTTATGATACCATCGATCGTCACGTAGGTGGGTATGTGATCACTCCCATGAGTCTCAATATCGCAAAACCACTTAACTTTGTGAGAGAAGCACCGTGACACCAATGTCAGGTCAAGGCAACTACCATACGTGAGACCCTGCAGATATGTGGGGGTACCATCGTTCATGATGGAAAGGTCGTAATCGGAAGCGAATGTAACAATGTTCCGGCCCCTGGCATTCATCCTAGTGCTCCCCCAAAGCATGTGATCGGCGTTGAAGTCACCGGTGATGATCCAAGGCCCATCGGTCCTCATTAGGATGTCTTTTAATCTGTCGCAGTCAAATCGCGCTGAAGGAGATATATATCCACCAATAAGCGTGAACGAAACTGCAATCTTCTTTACACGAAGACACACGTACTGATTGTCGTCATTTTAACTTATTGGGTGCGAAAGATAAGTCAAGTCTGTGCGAATGTAAACAATTACGTTGCTTCGTTCTTCGCAAGCGGCTGAACAAAAAGCTTCATAACCGGACAATCTATAAGGCGTTGATACGTTTGGTTCACATATGACAAGTATAGGGAATTGATTGGCCCGAACAAATTGGCGAAAGTCCGAGATACGGGATTCATGCCTCTGGCATTCCACTGAAAAATCGACGCACTTTTAACTTCAGTGCGGAAGATGAGATTTTGTTGAGCCATTGTGCTTATACGAAGTTAGCAAGAACTGGATTCAGTGCATCTAGTATTTGCAGTGCACTCTTAGCAGACGAAGATTGTATGCTGCCCAGTAGTGTGCGAATTGTGGCAATTAATGATTTCACGATTGCAGTCACTTGCCTGTCTTGGTTGGAAAGATCTCGAACCGGGATCGCGGACTGGCCGTCATGAAACTCCTTCGGTTCGCTTGATGCTGCTTCCCTTTGAAGTGCAGGCCACTCTGTCGCAGTTAGGGTATGCTCACTGGCTTTGTCCTTTACAGCCTTTCCCACGGCATGTGGTCTGGGAGGCAAAGGAGGTGGTACTGATGAGGGATCTGGCAAACGTGTCGAGGAGGTAGCGGGCGTCCTCGAAGACCGACGTCGACGTGAACGACGCCTTCTGATTTTAGCTGCGGCTTCTCGATGAGATGAGTGATCGCGCACCATCTCCTTCAAGATGGCAATTTCCTTCAGAATCCGCGGGCAGTCCTTCGATGTGGCTTCATGGGATCCATTGCAATTAGAGCATTTCTTGACAGTTGCGACGCGCTTATCCGCTTCATGGTGCTCGGCGCAGCGGTGGCATACCACCGAATTCTCGCAGACGCTGCTCACATGTCCAAGTTTCATGCATTTACGGCACTGGAGAGGCTTTGGAATGAAAGGCCGCACAGCATGTCTGAAGTACCCCACCTTCACATGAGAGGGGAGGGATGTGCTCTTAAACGCAATCTTCACACAGCGAGACTTGCCTAGCCGGGTGACATCAACAATTGGAGTATCAGTTGTTGACTTGACAAGAAATTGTAAGTCATTATTGGAAATAGCCACATCTATGTCGTAGATCACGCCGGTTACTACATCACATCCCAAGGGAACATGAGAACGCACCTGGTTGCCGTCCAAGTCAGTTACACTGCGCAGAACGCCCAACGCACTTGCGTGCAAAACGTCCACAGCCAGTATATTCTTTCTGGCGTTCACTCTTATGTCCGTGATCTAATTTGGCACGAGCGTTTCCATAGACCTCGACACAGACTGTCTGTTAAGGCGTTTCACGCTGACGGTAGGAAGTGCAGGCAAAAACAGGATGGTATAAGTGTTCGATTTTGGCGCTTCACTTACAGTTTGAATAGTTGTCACATTAATAAGTAATTGAGACTCCTTATAGCCCCTTGAATACCTAAAGTTTAAAAAGAGGGAAAAGGCTATGGAGGCATGAGCATCACAATGACACCTCGGAACTCCTGTGCTGGTATATAAATGAGCGTACAACATCCAGCAAGACGTTCTGGATTAGTGTATCAGTGCCTTCAGAAGCCTATCAACTTTATAATTGAGGGTTATGACACTGGGCTTTTTGCTGGTATACGCAACTGCGTAATTATAGTTATATGCATAGGTGGCCTTGTTGTCGAGCACAAACTGCGGCCCCGAGCAGCACTCACTGCCTCAAGAACCTACAGAAAAAAAAAGGGCACGAGTGTGCTCCTCGCGAGGTACTCTGCCGTTACGAGATATCGACGCCTGCACAATGGTGCTTTTAAGCATCCTTATGCATGACATTTGCACCTAAGAGATGCTTTGGGTTGGTACGAGGTGAATCGCCGCCGACAGAGTCACGATGCTCTTATACTGCGCTTTAAAGCATTAAAAAAACGCATGCGGTAGAAATTGGACGCAGCAAGGCATGTCTTTGGGAAGTTGGTTCACGCTGGATGTTTTGTTTGTACCATGCTTGTTGCTCCTTGTTGTCTTAACGTTGTTAATGGCTTGTTGGTCTTTTTTGTTATTTATTTGTTTACTGAGGCAGAGCTTTGGCGGTAAATCGTTGTGCTTGGATTTTTGTGTGTGTGCTGTGTTTTGATAATAATTTTTATCCAAGCGGCTTCTTGGCTAAGTATAGGCCACTTACATTATCTTTAATACGTTTACACTTGTTCTAGCCCAATTGTGTTTAATGGTGGGTTGGTTCGTTTTTTTTTCTACGTCAGACGTTTTTTTTTATGGCTTGTTTGTCCTCAGTGGCGCTTCTTTCCGTTTTGGTTATCTACGTTTCCGCTGTAGTGAATTTGTTCTAATGCCACTCCAAGCTTGTTTAATGCAACATTCATGTGATGTGATAATCTTAGAGTATCTCTATCGCTTTGCTGCTCGACCTTCGAGTCTGCATTGGTGTGGGCTCATGATGCGCGAATCGCGAATATTATCACAATGTATCACGAATCTTATCACCCTTGCTAGTTACTGTTAAAAATATTTATGCTTGTTTTCAACAAACCTCGGAGCGTCTGTCCTTTGAACCTCTTGTTCATGCGTGGTTCCTGAGCACTCATTAGTTTCGCATCAGGAGAAAATTAATCCATGGGCACAAACGGCGCGACCTTTTTTGTGGCCTCAGTGATCGGTATATTTCACATGAAGGGAAACTTCTTGCTTCAAACAACATATAATTGATTTGATAGCTACATATGTAAGCTGCACCACGTTTTTTTTTAATGGCGTGGCTGGGGCTGTACTTTTATTTGCAGTGCGTAGGTAATGGAAAGCTCACTGAACTTTCGTCGGCAGTTACAGAGCCCTTGAAAGTCAATGATAATTTACATCAGCAACAATGTTGTTCACGGCTCCCTACATGACAAGAAAAAAGAAAAACACTACGTTTTACTTTTTTCAAGTGCAAATATTGCAGACGCTTCTTTGTGTAATGCGAGCAACTGTTGCAGAAATATCGCCACCACGTGCCGTGCTCTCCCGATGTACAGGTTCGTGGCTTCCTGGGCAACGCAGTGCTGAGCTACCTGTTCGGCTGGGCCTTCTACTTGGTCTGCGAGAAACCTTTCTCCAACATCGAGCGCTCCTGCTTCAACCGCTTCGTCAATCTACGCAGTCGTCAGCGGCCAAAAGGCAACGAGTCGAGCGCGTCGTCGATGGTGGTGCTCGCCGCTAACCAGAGGAACGAGTCCCTGGAAGAGGTATCTGCCGCGAGCAGGTTACAAGGAGAAGCGGTGCTTACGTCTGGCATCGTCACCGCGGACTACGGGGGCTGCGGCCGAGACACGCGCTAATCGGTCTTGTCCTCGGAATTTTCTACACACTACTTTGGTAGCTTATCGGCTATGAAGTGTCACGCTACAGAGATGGGAGGTGCATGAAGCGATAGGAAATTTGGCTAGTGGGAACATAGTAGCGATGGTCAGCGCAAAAAATAACACGGAAAAACATAAGAGTCGTGTATATTATTTTTTTCCTGTCCTTTTTCGCGCTGACTGTCACAGGGTATTTGGAAGATGCACGTTCCATCCGCGGTCACAATCTCCTCATAATAAAGTCGGCGTTTTGCCAAATAAAGAATCACGAATTTATTACGAAGCACGCCTTGTGGTTAGAATGGGGATTGAATTAGATCATTTAGGCTTCGCTAATGCGCAGACTCATCCTTTTTTCAGCCATAATTACTACACACAAAAAAAATAATCGGAGCTGCGACTTTCCGTATATACTATAATACGATTGGTAACGCATGGCTATAGTGTTCAGTCATTGCAACCGCCGCTTCAAACAACATCATCTCTTCATCTATCACGTTTCATATTTATAAAGCTTTCCTGGAAATCACCTCAATGACTGACGGCAGGAAATTGGCGCATACTCATTATTATTGCAGGCGGTTTCATTTGTAACGCAGACATCGTACATAGGTGCGAAAATCATTACGTTTTGTCATTGCTAACGAGCTATCACTGTGCCTTGTTTATGCGGTGTCGACTGTGGCTGAAAATTGCGAAGCGGCTGCATGTCGCGAACATGTTAGAAATTTAAAGCAGAATTCCATGCGCTATTTTGTGAAAATCCCACTTCGCGAGAAAAGGTTATACACAAATCCTCTTTGCAATACTGCAGTATAGTTGGCTGGATTATTGAATGGACGAAAAAAAAAAAAAACGACGTGGGCTGGGCTCCCGCGTAGCTGTGGGCTAGAACGTCTGGCCTCCTCCTCGGCACGCTAGATTGGGGCTGGTACACAGTATTTGAACGGAATTATTTGAAAGAATTCAGAACGGCCAGTACCGTGTCAGCGCCATCCCTCAGCCCAGTGTGTGTTCCCGCTCGGTCCTGTCTCAAACTATGTTGAATTCCGTTCCTTATCAGCGTGCCCCGGCTATAGCACGTGCGTGAATTTCGTTATTTAATGTGCGAACTAGAACGAGCCACGCAAATGGGACAAACAAAAGGAAAGGAGCGAGGTTTCGTGATTTAAGGAAGTGTTATGGCACTTACTGAAGAAAGGCAGTTTGTTACAATCTGTAATTTTTCAGTGGAAAAGCCCACTGTGCACTTGGTAACGCATGGAGTTACGCAATCGACGGCAAGACTCCTTGTAAAGAATAAGGACCCCCCCCCCCCCCCCCCCCCAGTGAATAGGAAACGCATTAAATTACCTTGACGTGCCCTCAGTCGATTCCATCGTTCCATTCTTCCCTCCATGGAGCTTCATGCACATCGCGCGCTGTTCACCAAGCAACTTCGTGGACTGATCACGTCACCTGATGACGTCACGGATGGGATCGCACGGCGTCATAACGACGTCGCTTGATAGAACCACAACGAGCCCCTCACTCTTCACGACACTCAGTCTGAGATAGTTACGTGGGTTGTACGGGTTTTGTAAAACTCGCGAAGTTTTCTGAAGTCTCAGACAAAAATGTCAAGGAGGCTAGCGTCAATATAGCAATACAGCTAGTTCGCCTAGTATAGGCATAAATACATGCTTAAGAAGCGCGAAAAAAACACACGGAAGCGCCAGTCTTGGGTGTATTCTATACTTCGCCCCCGTGTTCTTTCGCAGCTCTTATAAGCATGAGCCACTATAGACTGTTAATTATTTCGTGTTTAAAATAATGAACTGTACTTCGGTCCGTACAAGGCACCTTACAGCTTTCAGTCCACAACCGCGGAATGCGACGTCTGCTGCACCAAAGAAGACATCGACCATCTGATATGCCATTGCCCTCGATTTGCCTCTGAAAGACAGAAGCTTTCGGACGCATTGCGACAATTGGACGATCGGCCACTCTCTGTGCAGATGCTACTGGAACACCGTCATCGCCCTTCGTCGGCTCAAAAAGCAGTCAAAGCTGTCTTGTGCTTTTTGAGGACTACAGGCCTCTGTGACAACCTTTAACTTTTGTGTAGTGCCACCACTGCATACGCGCCAGCCGATTGACTGACAATCCTCCTTTTTTTAACTTTTTTCTTTTTCTCTCTCTTTCTCTTCTCTTTCCTCTCTCTCTCTCTCTCATCTTTATGCCCCCTTCCTATTCCCCCAGCGTAGGGTAGCAAACCGGGCATGTGCCTGGTTAACCTCCCTGCCTTCCCTCTTGTTGTTTACCCTCCCCCCCCCCCCCCCCCCCCCTCAGTCCACAACCAACATTTTCAGAGGAAAGCATTAGCTGAAGAAACGACCTGGTTACTGTGGCTAGAATGAGGGTGTGTGAAAAGTGGTCGCTAAAATCGCTCTCCAACGCGCGACGATGCCACTTGGTGTGCTGTACGCACAGGTACGGGTAGAGGTGTGCGCCGAGGCGGTTTTGACCGGCGGCGGCGTGGGGGTCGTCCAGAGTCGGCGGCGGCGGCGTTGTCGGCGCACGCCAGTTTTTTCATCGGTGGCGGCGTGCGGCCAATTTTCGTCGGCGGCGGCGGCGTCAGCGGCGCAGAAACCGAAACTGAAAATTCAAAAGGCTCTTCCGCCACAGGTTACTGAATTAGTGGAAATTCAGGAATTTTAATCCAAATAGCATAAATGACACTACACAGATGTGTCGACATCCCGATGAATGCAAAGCGTTTTGTAAAGTAGTTTTTATTTCGCTTTCATGAAAAAATAACGCGTATTTCAATCTATGTCCATGTTCTACGGTAAATGTGCAGCACTTTGCTTTTTTTAATTTAAGATGCATCAGTTTGTTGTTGTTGTTGTTGGCAACGTCATACTTCATGAAACCTTTTTTCATTGAACGATGAGCAAGCAGTGACGCACGTCACTCATTTCGCTTTTTCCGGATCTGATCTTACTTTTACATTGTACGCTGCACAAAAGAAGAAGCACCTCTGCTTCGAGTTGTCTTATTACGATTGCATGAAACCGCTTTTTTGAGTATCTGTCATGCTTTGAATGTAACTTTCCTTCAAACGAATCAAAATACCTACTTTTCACAATGTGAGAATCTTTTATGCAGCGGTATAGGATGCGGAAGGAGACAAATCTGCGCATTTATTCAACTAGTTCTCAGCGCGGTGTTCAATGAATGCAGTGTAGACATGGGCGTGGGCGAGGCGGGTGGTGCAAAAAGGACACTTGAACCCTTCAAGCTCCACCAGCACTTGCTACCCACTCTAGCGACACCAACACGACCTACTCCCTCAGTCGTGATGCAAGTTGAAAGAAGGCTTTGCATCCCCCCAAGACAAAAGCCTGTCGATGGTCATATGTGCAAATGACAGCAAATGCAATATTTGCTCAGATAGACAGCCCATACTGGTCACGAGCTGGGCGTCCGTTGACCACGCCTGCAGAGAACGTTGACTCCCCGACCCCTTTGTGTTTGGTTAGGGCAGGGGGACACCCCTTCCAAGTGGGCCCCATTAAAATTTCTCTTTAAAAACGTCACAAATAAGAATGCTTGATAAGTATGTCTAAAACATTCACCTTTTCAATGCTTTGTTGTAGCGTGTTCACGTGCTCAATACCCATAAGATGTGTAAGAAATCGAAATAGCAACTGCCACTCTCGACTTGTTCCGGAAAAGACACAATAGAACAATGCAATTACGAGTGCTGAGAACCTTTGTTCTTTTGTATATTTGATTTCTAGGCATGATTTGAATTCTTATATAAACAAAAATAAAACCTGCAACATATTAAAAAAAGGCTGCTATTGCAAGATGTGTGTTGCAAGACGTGATTTTTCTAGACTTAAGTCTCTGCAAGGCACATCTGGTGTCACAAACTTGTATGTGTCCCCCCCTTTTTCCCACGACATCTACCGATTCCCCCCCTCTAATAAAAAGGCACCAATGTAGGCCTCCGTAGGCCTCCGTGATTGCCTACTGGCGCGCGGCGGGCCATTTCGGTGGCTAGATCCAACAGTGGCGATTTCGACTTGCTTTATTGCAGGTGCTGAAGGATCAAGAAAAGGCCGATATTTGTAAATTTCTTGAGAGTTCAGTGATAGTTTCTTCATGAATACCGTGGATTATTGGACCTCACTTTGTGTATAATGCTCCAATGAAAAAAAAAAGGTTTCATCCTGTGTCACTGCAGAGTCAGAAGCCATCACATGTGCAGGCATCATTAAGCTTCTATATGACATTGCTAAGGTTCAGTACATTTGTACAAATAATTCTCGTTAATTGAACATTTTGAGTATAATCCTTGCTTGGGTTAGTATGTATGAAACATAAATTTGAGATTTAAAATTATCATTGTGGGTTTCTGCAGCAAAGACACATTGATTAAAACTGATGACTCCGGAGCTACGGCAGAGGTAACATTCGTTCTGTTTTTTTTTCGGTTACGGTAACGGTAATGCGTTACCTTTTTTATGTATCTATATAACGTGGAGCCGTGAAACGTTCCCCTTTTTCTTATTTGAGTAACTAGTGAGGTATTTAGTTACTTTTTACTGTAACGGATACATCACTAAATAGACTTACAGGAGTGATGTCGGCCCACGCCGTTAGTTGTTGCGGTCTACAGGCTGGCTGTAAACATCACATGGAGATATATTCCTTTCATCCAGAAGGGTTGATAATTAATGATATGCATATCATCCCACCGAAGCGTGCACTTCGTTTCGCTAAAGTTTACAGTCAACGTCAGTGCGGTCGTCACGCGGTATGCTTTAGGTAGAAACTTAGCCTTCTCAAAATACCCAAAGACGTCGATCCACCGTGCAACGCGTGGCCACCCGATGACGGTTCTGTATGAAAATGGCATCCACAGTGAAACATGTTGCATCTGCTGAAATTTTATCACAACATTATTATACTGCCACGCTCGCTTGTATTTTTATGTCACAGTCTTGCGCAAAGGCACTGCCGTAGTGGTTCAGTAGCTAAGGTACTCGGCTGCTGACCCGCAGGTCGCGGGATCAAGTCCCACCTGCGGCTGCTTTATTTCCGATAGAAGCGAAAATGCTGTAGGCCTATGTGCTGCGATTTGGGTGCATGTTAAAGAAACCCAGGTTGTCAAAATTTCCGGAGGCATCTCTCATAATCACGTTGTGGTTT